TTCTTAATTAAGATCTTTATGCATAAAGTTCTCCACTATTTCACATTTTTTTTTTCCCCCTGAGGATTCCAGAAGTCAAATTGCTGGGTCAAATTACTTTTTATAGCTTCAGAATCATATAGGCAAATTGCTTTTCAAAAAGGTGGTATCCATTTATAATGCATTCAGGCCCAATATTGCTCATTCAGTGGCAACTTCATTGGTATCGGGTATTACAGACACCATTTTCTTTGGGTTGATTTATGAGCATTGTCTCATCTTCATCAGAGCAGTTGCCAGTCAGAAGAAGTAAAGAGGAGTTAAGAAACCACAAGAAACTTTATTGATGCAGACTCATGGAGTTCAAAGAGACCTTGAGCAATGCATTTCCTTCTTATTTTCTCTGATTTTACTTGCTGCATTTGGATTATAAAGACATATATAATAATATATATACGTAATAATATAATAATATAGTCTATTGTTTATTTTTTATTTTTTTGGATACCAGGGATTGAACTCAGGGGCACTTGACCACTGAGCCACATCCCTAGCCCCATTTTGTGTTTTATTTAGAGACAAGGTTTCACTGAATTGCTTAGTGCCTTGGTTTTGCTGAGGCTAGCTTTGAATGCCCCATCTTCCTGCTTCAGCCTCCTGAGCCACTGAGATTACAGGCGTGAGCCAGCCACTGTTCCTGGCTTCAATCTTGTTTTAAAAGAAAGTTTTTCTTAAAAGAAAGGCTGAAAAAAAATCTTTCAAAGCCACTTGCATTTTGTTTACCCTGAGCTGAACAAGACATCATTTGTAATTGCTGAAAGATACTCTGTAGAGAGGACTTACCACAGTGTATCTTGCCATTCTTTTATGTTCTTTCTAAATTTTCCTTATTATTAATAATACTATAGTGAACATCTTTTTGCATAAACCTCTAATTTTTTTGGATTGGTTGCTTAGAAACAATTCTTGGAAATGAAATTTATGGATCAAAGGGCATTCATATTTTACTTTATTTATTTTGGCATTTTAAAGACAGGGTGCCAAATTGCTCTAAGGCTTATGCTAGTTTATGACCCCACCAACAATGTAGAAATGTGTTCAATTCACTTTCCATTGCCAGCAGTGGCTTCCCATATTAAAAAAAAAAAAAAATCTCCCAGTATGCAGCTTCTGTAGATTTATGTCGTGCTCTAATCCAGTGTTAATCTAACCTTAAAAGCTAGGAGACTTTTCCCCCTTTGAGTTGCAAACCAAATCCTTCCTGTCAATTTGAGGCTTGGCTTTATTCTGTAAGGACTTAGAGTTCTGCATTGGAGATGTCAACTTCTATTTTCCTTTGTTTGTAAAACCTCATGGCCAAGTTTGCATGAATTAGTATAGAAGAAAAACATTGCCATTGTTCCAAGAAGTGCTTCAGTATTTCTCTGCTGGATTATGGGTTGGAAGAGTTATCCATGGCCATGGAGGGGAGGGGCAGCTCAGGTGTTGGGCTCTGCCATCTGATTCACTGACTGGGATGTGACAAAATCTTCCTTGGGGAAGAGTTCTGTGTGTTGGGCTGTGTCAGAACAGGTACTACCTGGAAGAATAGATATTTTATCTCTCAACATCTCTTTTCTTCTTCTGGTAATCAAGGGTTCTCTCTCTCTCTCTCTCTCTCTCCAACTACTGTATCCTGATCTAACCCTGGCCTTTCCTTTTTGGCTAGAAATCCCTTTTCCTCTTGGCTAGAATGATTGACTCATGAGTGGGCACTTGACCCAAGAATGACCAGCCCAATCCTTCATGGGATTTGACCTAGGAATGCTGACATATGCTATATTCCCATGAAGCTTGGTAAACCGGGATGATTTAGGTTGAAGGCTGTGGTACTTCTCTAGTCCCATCATGTGGAAAAAGTGACTTGCACCTGCAATTGAAGCCGGGGACTATGAAACTAAGGAAAAGCAAACAAAGACGTGGCAGGGGAGGTGGAAAGGGATGGTCTCCATGCCAAGCCATGAATGCTGGTCTGGATTGGATTTCATTTTGCCTTTACAATGGAAAAAATCTAGTGCACCTGGAGGGGCCAGAGAGTTTATATGTAAGAGATAAGCACAGAGAGTTCTAGAAAGAGGGAGCCGAGGGTTTGTATTAGAGGAAAATATCGGTTGTCGGATTCAAACATTGCAGGTATTTGAGATGATAGGCTGGAGCAAGGTAAGAATCGGTTGCTAGGAATATGAGGAGCATGTCGGGAAGTACAAAGCTAAAGAAGAGAAGGGCGTTTGCTGCATTTATCTGGGTACATGGTGATCTTGAGCCACATTGGCGGTGGGATGGAGAGGGAGCGATGGTTGCAGGAGAATTGCAGAGGAAGAATTCTTAGGGCTTAGTGACCTGTTGGCTAACTGTGTTCCTCTGCTCATGTTGCCATAACAAAATACCACAGATGGGGGACTGAACAGCAGAAATTTGGTTTCTCACAGTTCTGGAGGCTGGGACGTTCAAGATGAAGGTGCTGGCAGGGTGGGTTTCGGATGAGGCCTTTCTGTTCAATGGTGCTTTCTCGTCCTTACATGGCCTTTTCCCCCTCTGGTCATGTGGGAGAGCAATCTCTGGTTTTCTTTCTAGTTCTATGGTAGACACCAGGCCTGTGAAGCTAGGACCCCATCTTTTTTTTTTTTCTTTTTTTTTGAGAGAGAGAATATTTTAATATTTATTTTTTAGTTTTCAGTGGACACAACATCTTTATTTTATTTTTATGTGGTGCTGAGGATAGAACCCAGTGCCTCACACATGTGAGGCAGGCACTCTACCACTGAGCTATAGCCCCAGCCCTAAATATATTCTTATTAAAAAAAGTTTTTAGTTGTAGATGAACACAATACTGCCGCAGTCTGGCTGGGCACAAATCACGAGCCACTCAAGAGGAACAAACTTTATTTCTGAACTCCACCAGCACACACCACACATGCTCCCCAGGAACTCTCCCGAACGCCATGCAGCTCCTCCAGGAACCACCAACCGGAAATCCCTCCTCTGGCACTTCCCCAACCAATTTGAACTCTTCAGGAATCCCCGCGAGAACTCAAAAGTCATCATCTTAATGGCTCGCTGGCGTCACCTCTCAACCACTACTTCTGGCAAAAATGCCATGCGTCATCCCGACTCGGCTGTGGCCCTCAACACAATACCTTTATTTTATTTATTTATTTTTATGTGGTGCTGTGGATTGAACCCAGGGCCTCGCAGGTGCTGGGCGAGCGCTCTACCACTGAGCCAAACCCCAGCTCCTAAATAAATATATTCTTTATAATATAAAATATATTATAAGCATTTTCTCATACTGCTATAGTTTTCATAGCTACCATTTTTAAAGTATTTTTTTTTTTTTTTTTTTTTTTTTTTTTTTAATATTTATTTTTTAGTTTTCGGCAGACACAATATCTTTCTTTGTATGTGGTGCTGAGGATCGAACCCGGGCCGCACGCATGCCAGGCGAGCGCGCTACCGCTTGAGCCACATCCCCAGCCCTTAAAGTATTTTTTTAGTTGTTGATGGACCTTTATTTTTTATTTATTTATCTGTGGTACTGAGAATTGAACCCAGTGCCTCACACGTGCCAGGCAAGTGCTCTGCCCCTGAGTCACAACCCTAGTCCTTCATAACTACCATTTTTTAAAAAAAATATTTTTTGGTTGTTGATGGACCTTTATTTTTTTAAAATTTATTTTATGTGGTGCTGAGAATTGAACCCAGGACCTCACATGTGCAAGGCAAGTGCTCTACCGCTGAGCCACAACCCCAGCCCCGTAACCAGTCTTTTCAAAGGCTGCAGTGCACTCCTGATTCTATTCTAGTATTGCTCGTCTTTCTCTTACCTAGTTGTCATTGGCTAGCCAACGAGTCAGCCGTAAGCCCCATCCACCTTCCTTGTTCCTTGTCACCGCATCTTCCTCCCCCCCCTGACTCCTAGCCACCTATCTTAAGATCAGGTCATTGTGTGCTGGGGGCTTCCTCACTGGCCAACTGTCTCCTGCCACTAGTGGTACCCACTGCATTCACCTGACACAGAGGAGACAATGAAATTTAAGGCTGTGTTTTTTAATGGTACTCATTTAGTCTTAACATTGACGGGCTCTAATGTCACACTCTTCAGCTAGGCGCTGGAAGTCTTCCACAGTCCAGCATTAACGCAGCTTATTTACTCCCACCCTTCCACCTCACTCTGTTTCTCTCTTCTATCCTTTCTTCCTCCCTCCCTCCTTCCTTTCCATCCCGTCTTCCTTCCTTCTCTCAGTACTAGGGACTGAACTCAGGGGCTGAGCTAGATCCTCAGCCCTTTTTATTCTTTGAGACAAGGTCTCACTAAGTTGCCAAGGCTGATCATGAACTTGGGATCCTCCTGCCTCAGCCTCCTGAGCTGCTCGGATTACAGTTATGTGCCATGGCTCCTGGCTATGATTATCTTTTAGAAAAATTATTTTTTGGGGGATGGGGTTGTAGCTCAGTGGTAGAATGCCTGCCTCGCATGTGTGAGGCACTGGGTTTGAACCTCAGCACCACATAAAAATAAATAAATAAGCTGGGTGCAGTGGTGCACGCCTGTAATCCCAGTGGCTTGGGAGGCTGAAGCAGGAGGATTGCAAGTTCAAAGCCAGCTCAGCAACAGTGAGGTGCTAAGCAACTCAGACCCTGTCTCCAAATAAAAAATATAAAATAGGGCTGGGGATGTGGCTCAGTAGTCGGGTGCCCCTGAGTTCAATCCCTGGAATTCCCCTCCGCAAAAAAAAAAAGAAAGAAAGAAAGAACTAATAGATGATGTTTAAAAAATGTTTATTTAATTTGTTGCTATTTATATAAATTCAGTGATTTTTGTATATTGATTTTTTTATTAAGTAATATACAATAAAACTAATAATTTCTCCATAGATTTTTGTGTTTTCTATGAAGCCAATATTATATATGAGTAATGAATGTTTATTTCATTTTTCTAATTCTTATACCTTTGTTTCTCTCATCTAATATAATGTTGAATACAAAGGCTATAGTGGGAATTATTTTCTTTGGTCTGAAAGGGAAAATATTCAACTCTTCACCATGAACTGGAATTATTGCTGCTGATATACAGTTTAGGAGGTAAGAGATTCTATTTTAGCTTCCTAAGGATTTATTTTTATATTTCTATTTGTTATAAATGGATAGTAAAATTTATTTTAGAAATTTTTGTTTACTAAGATATGGTATCTCTCCTTTAATCTGTTAAAGTAATAAATTAGTGTTTTTCTTATTCTTTTTCTTTTTTTTTTCCAGTACTGAGAATCTAGCCCATGGATGCTTTATCTCTGAGCTACATCCCTGACCCTTTTCAGTTTTTGAGACAGGGTCTTACTAAGTTGCTGAGGCTGTCTTCAAACTTGGAAATAAGCACATAAAAAGATGCTCAGGACTGGGGATGTGGTTCAGTAGTAGAGCATGTGCTTAGCATGCAAGAGGTCCTAGGTTCCATCTCTAGCACATGCGCGCGCGCGCACACACACACACACACACACACACACACACCAAAAAAAAAAAAAAAGCGGTTAACATCATTGGTTATCAGAGAAATTCAAATAGAACCACAATGAGCAGCATTATACATTCACTAGAGTGGCTCAGATTTAAAAACTGGCCAGGCACATTGGCTCATGCCTGTAATCCTAGTGGCTTGGGAGGCTGAGGCAGGCAGATCACAAGTTCAAAGCCAGCCTCAGCAAAAAAAGAGAAGCTTCAGCCTCCTGCATTGCTGGGATTACAGGCATGCACCACTGCACCCCGCTCCACTGATTATTTAACCCATAGCTTTTAAAAATGTGCTTCTTCACTTCTAAACCCTTGGATTTTTTTTTCTAGGTTTCTGTTTGTAATTGACTTCAGTTTTAATTCTATGGTGGTCAGAGAAAGTGGTCTATATAGAATACCAGTCCTTAGAAATTTGTTGAGATTTGAATTTAGTTTAATCTCTGAAATGTTCCATGTTTTTCTAGGAAAAACGCATATTCTGAAATAATTGAGTACAGTGGTATCTATCCCTTTAAAAAGTTAAATATCTTATATATGAAAAATCTTCTAAACTGTTTACCAAAGAGTCATCATTTTACATCCCCACCAGCATTGTATGACAGTGCTAGTTGTTCCACATCCCTTGTCAATACTTGGAATAGTCAGTTTTTAAATTTTTTTTTTGTACCAGGGATTGAACTCAGGGGCACTTGACCACATGAGTTCACAAACAGTTCCACAGTGGTAATGTTCTTTGGTCATTGATTGGATCAATGAAGTTGCTGCTGGGGCCTTACAGTATCTGACAGAGCCTCCATTTAGTGAGCACATACTCTGTGCAGAGGCACTTTACATGGTTTCTCTCAGGCCTCATAACACCATGAAGAGATGGGGAATATAATTCCCATTTCCCAGCTAGGGAAACGGAGGCTCAGAGACATGAAGCCACTTGCTTAAGCCAGGTGTGACCAGCTCCAGACTCATGCCCTGTTGTCTATGTTGGAGTCAAACTGAATTGGAGGCCATAATTCTGCCTCATTTTCCCCAGCATTCCTATTCCTGGGCTCCCTGAGAGGGTCTCAGCTGTCAGCCAGATGGTTCTGAGGCCCAGGGCCTGCAGCTACCTCTGTAACCAGTTCCTTCCTCCTTGCAACATGGTGAGTAGGTGATATAACCTCAGCATGGAGAGGACTATGTGTGTACACATGTGTGTGTCTGTGTGTCCTGGAAACAGCATTAGTCTTCTCCATTCCCACCATCACAGCCTCATCGACTCTTCCTTCACATCTCTCAGGAATGTGGACCCTTTCCCCCCAGGGTACAGCACATTTCTGAGAGGAATCATAATATCCCCCTTGTCCCTGTGCATTGCCAGAGAGGTTTCTGGAAGCCATTTTGGGGACCTGTCCTCAAAACATATAATGTCTATATAGTAAGGTAACAACTAGGTTAAAAAAATCTTTTTTTTTTTCCTCTTGTGTTGGAGATCAAACCCACTGAGTATACCTCCAGCCCCATTAAAAATAAGATTGTAAAGGGGGAAAAAAAAAAAGCAAAGAAATGTGGTTATGAGTGTTTTTTCCCTTTATTTTCAAAATTTTCTGTACTGTGGCTTTCTTATTTTTATAATTAAATTTATGAAAAATGCAGTGGATTGAACAAATAATCTGTTGCTTCTCTGTGAGAAACAATAATAATACTGCATTTCCAAGGAGGTTTTTAAAAATTACCTTTATTATTAAAATTTTGATAGAATCTACATAAAATTTACCATCTTAAACCTTTTGAGAGTACAGTTCATTGTCATTAAGTACTTTCACGTGGTTGTGAAACCATCATCACTGTTCTTCCAAACTTTTTCATTGTCCTAAACTGAAATCCTATATCCACGGCTGTCCTTGCCCTCCTCCTTTAGCAACCACCATTCCACCTCTGTGACTTTGAGCATTTGGTACCTCTTGTAAATGGGATCATACAATTCTTGCCCTTTTATGTGTGTGGCTTTTTTTTACTTGACATAATGTCTTCAGATTTTACCTTTGTCATGGTATATATTAAGGTTGGCTTCCTTTTTAAGGTTGAGTAATATCCCAATTGTGTATATCTATCTATAGCTCTATCTTTCTCTCTCTCTCTATATATATATCTATACCTTTACATTACATCTTGTTTTTCTCCATTCATCCATCAATGGCCAGTTGGGTTGTTTCTGCCTTTTGGCTATTGTTTAAACTAATGCTGCTAGGAAATTTGTTTACAGATATTGAGTCCTTGCTTTCCACTCTTTTGGAATTGAAATTCTAAATCCCAAATTGGAATTCAATTTCAAATTCTTTTGGAATGTGCTTAGAAGTGGAATTGCTGCCAAGGAGCATTCTAGAACTCATTTCTGGAACTTTTGACAGTTTAAATGGTTACTGGGGATTGAACCCAGGAGTGCTTAACCACTGAGCCTCATCCCAGCTCCTTTTATTTTTTTTAGTTGATGGATACTATACCTTTATTTTATTTATTTATTTTTATGTGGTGCTGAGGTTTGAAACCAGTGCCTCACATTTGCTAGGCAAGCACTCTGCCACTGAGCCCCAACTGCAGCCTCCCCAGCCCTTTTTATTTATTATTATTATTTTTATTTATTAATTTTTAAAGTTTTGGATATTTATTTTTTAGTTATAAAATAAACATTATTTATTTTTATGTGATGCTGAGGATTGAACCCAGGACCTTGCACATGCTAGGCGAGTGCTCTACCACTGAGCCACAACCCCAGCCCCCTTTATTTTTTATTTTGAGACAGGGTCTCACTAATTGCTCAGGGCTTTGGTAAGTTGCTGAGGCTGGCACTGAGGTTGGTTATCGCCCCCAACAATCTTTTACTCTGATTCCACCTCTCCTTCCTGGAGGACCTCGAGCGACATCAGGAGTCACTATTGATGAGAAGATGGGTGCATGTTTCTGAGATTTTGTTTAATCTTCAGAAAGTTATAGTTAATGATTTCCACATCAAGGGTTGCCCAGCATACCACCAATTTTGAATTTAAAGCAGAGCAAATAAATGTGAACAAATAAATGTGTTTTGTTCATAAAAATTGTGCTTATAATTGTGGTATATATACACAATGGAAAGTTACTCAGCCATAAAGAAGAATGACTTTATGACATTTGCCAGTAAATGGATGGATCTGGAGACTGTCATGCTAAGTGAAATAAGCCAGCCCCCAAAACCAAAGGTCAAATGTTTTTTGCTGATGTGTGGATGCTAACCCACACTAAAGTAGCGGGGGAGAGGAAGAAGAGAAGTTCATAGATTAGACAAAGGGGAATGAATGGAAGGGAGGGGGATTAGGCAGAGGAAAGACAGTAGAATAAATCTAACATAATTTTCCTATGTACACATATGAAAATACCTAAGTAACTCCCACCGTCGTGCCTACCCACAAGAATGAGGTCCTAATTAGAATAATATATATCCCATGCTTGTATAATTTTATCAAAATACATTCTACTGTCATGTATAAGTAGGAAGAACCAATAAAAAAATGGAATTGAAATACAGGGAAAAAAATCATGTTTACTACTCAGTAATTATGTGATTTTACTTAATCAAATAATCTTTGCTTCAAGTGTTTCCTAGCCAAGTGTAAAATGTCTTGAGAAGTACAAAAATGATAGAAGATGTGAAAGAACTCTGAGAAACGTAGAAGAAACACCAATGAAAGATTGGAGATGAAAGACTGCAACGTGGAAGCCAAGCCATACATTAAGAAAGATGGACAGACAGTGTTGGAAAAAGAACAGCAACTCCTGGGTACAAGATGACTGTTCCCTAGAAATGCTGGTTGGGTAATCAGTAGTCTGACTAATGTGGAAGATCACAGCCCAGTAAAAATGTGTTATGGCTGAGTGTCTTGCAGTGCAAGCTGGTGCGAATTAAGTGCTAAACACATAAAATAAATATATGAAACTAGTTGTATCTGCTGTAACTCACACCGCTGCAGGAGCTTTTAAAAGTTGCTAATAAAATAATAATACATTTTATTTATCTGACTTTGTGTTTGAAAGGGCAACAGACTGTTTCCAGGTGGCCATGCGTCTTGCCTCCCAGGGTCCTGGGGGCCATTCTGTCAAGCGTGGGCTATCTGGGGCCTTCACCTTTTGCAAGTTGCCCCTTGTTCCGGTAGCTAGGGAGGTGTCTCAGGCTGAAGGAGGCGTCTTGGCCCGACAACAGCCGCATGTCTAAGGCCTTGCCTGGGACATCTGCAGCTGCTGTTGGGAGGCAGAGGCTCCCTCTGCTCCTCTCATGAGTTCCCTCAGGCTTGTGTCTTGGGCCGTGCAGACCACAGCCCTGAGCATTGTCCTTAAAGGTTCATTTACTTCCCTGACCCCAAACCCCTCACTAGCACTCCCTCCTCCTGTGTCCCATGTGGCCCAAACGCTTCATCTCTGCCTGGCTGGGAGTTCTCGACCTGGCAGCCCATTCACTTACTGAGCCCAAGCACTCCACTCAGGTCCCAGGGATCACAATGGGCAGCCCAGGCTGAGAGTCACTGTCTCAGCCAAGTGCATGTCCCCGATGGAAGGAGAAAGGAAAGGAGTTCTCCTTGCACACTTCAGGCCTCTTTCACTGGCCACCCCGAGGCCCTTAAGGACAGAGTGGGTCATCTTCTACTTGTTCCATCTGTGGTTCTGCCATAGGTACTGCTGTGGAGCAGACACACAGTCTTGTCAATAAAATAAAACTTAAATTTCTGATATTGGTCCAGCAGATTTAATACTCTGCACTCTCCTACCCAGACCCTCAAATGAGCCAAAGGCATAGAATTTGGAGAAAAACAAACAAAAACAGGATCGCAATCTGTGTTTGATGGCAAATGGCCCGGTGCTTCACTTCTGTGAGACTGAGACTTCCCAATGTGAAAATGGGAACAGGCGCTTTGGCACATCAGTCTTCCTTTGGTGGGAGCCTGGCGCTAAGGCTTGACATTTATCGTCCCCAGTTCTCTCTACAACCCTGTTAGGCAGATCTTTTGTTGACTTTTTTTTTGGTACAGGGGATTGAACCCAGGGGTGCTTAACAACTGAGCCCCAGCCTTTTTTATATTTAATTTAGAGACAGGGGCTTGCTGAGTGACTTAGGGCCTTGCTAAGTTGCTGAGGCTGGCTTTGAACTTGAGATTCTCCTGCCTCAGCCTCCTGAGCTGCTAGGATTACAGGCATGGGCCACCGTGCCTGGCTTTTGTTGCCTTTTTATCAAGGTGAAAGGAGGTGAACTAGAGGTACTTATGGAGGTAACACAGCTAGCTACTGTCTGAATGGGGATCTGCACGCCCACATGGTGATTAAACAGGGGCAGCTATGGAATCAGAGGAGGTTCAGATCCCGGCTCTACCTGTTGCCAGTTGGGTGATCTTGGGTGTGGCATGTCACCCCTCCACTCTTCACTCTCCTCTATTGCACCCCTGAGAATGCTCTCTTCTCCCTGAACTTCTTTGAGGTGATAGAAGGGGTCAGGAGAGCAGGGCAAGAGGCCACGGTGGCAGCTGCACAATCCCAAGCTGGGAGAGTGAACTTCTACCCCTTTCCAGACTGGGATTTCCTCCAGGTGGGGACTCCTGGCAGGAGAACACGTCTGACTGTGGATAAACAAGTCCACGGTTGACCAGGCACATAGACTTTGATCAACCTCAGCGAGAGAAGCAGCAGAATCACACATTCCCTTGAGTGAGCAGGCTCCAGTTAATCCTTTATTATAGGCACTTCAGACGATATTGTGCCACAAACTACTCTAAAAACCCTCCCCAGAGCTTCCCCTAGGGTAGAGTCACCTATTTTAAAGCCCCGTTTGGAAGGGTTACTTTATTTGCATGTGGTTTTCCTCATTGGGGTACTGAGCCGTACATTGGAGGCACCTGGCCAGCGCTACCAGATGCAGACACTAAGATTTAGCCTCTACTGACTCCTAACCCTGTTGCTTAAACTTCCTCTGTTCCAGGCTGCTCCAGATGGTCACAAAACCATAATATGTTGAGGTTCCTTTCTTTTTAACCTCTGGATCTTTACTTTGAGTTCACTAACCTCTCACTTTATATTTCTGTTGATTTATTCCCATGCCCTCCCCTTGTTCCGGATCACCAGCTGCCCCTTCCCAGCAATACTGTCACCCAACACCTACCTTACAGGTTGTAGTGAAGAGTAATTGAGATAACATGTGTAAGTACCAGGCGCACAGTAAACACTTATACAAATTAGCTATAATTATGTAAACAGCAGTCATCCTGTGTGTGTGAGCTATAAATCAGGAAGTTCAAAGTACACAGAAAATGCTCAGTAAGCTGAAAATTATTAAACAGTGACTGGTTACTACTATGGCCTGTCTGGGAGTCCAGTGTCCCTGCCTATCACCTTTATTTACTTATTCACCAAACATTTGTTGGGATTGGCAACGGCTGTTTGTCATATCCACAACTGCCCAATGTCTTATTTGTTTTAGTTAGCCTTTTAACAAAATCTTAATTGTGTTTAAATATGCATAATATAAAATATACCGTCTTAACTTTTTTTTTCTTTTCCTGTTCTGGGGATTGAAGCCAGGGGTGCTCTACACTGAGCTATATCCCCAGCCTTTATTATTATTATTATTTTAATTTTGAGACAGGGTCTTGCTAAATGGCTCAGGCTGGCCTCTAACTGGCAATCCTCCTGTCTCAGCCTCCCTAGTAGCTGGGATTGCAGGTGCGTGTCTTTCTTTGGAGAGGTACCAGAGAAAGAAAGCACAGCAGGTCCCCCCCAGGTTACTTCCTGACCTGCGAAGGCCTTGGCACCCTCAGCTTTCCCTCTGCAGGATTGGGCCTGGCTTTCCATTTCATACCTCCCGTGATGACTGAGCCCCTTTTCTGTGCCAGGATCATCCTGGAAACATGAAGATTAGTAAGCAGGACTCAGCCCAGGGGAAGTGAGCAAATAGGGCGGAGCCTCAACTGGGGAGCTACTGAGAGACCATTTTTTTTTTCTCCTTAATATTCTTATTGTGGTCTCTTAAGCCTTATCTCACATGTCTTCTCTCAATTTTGGGGACTCTCCAAGAGAGGCTCACATGTTCCATACGGGTTGCCATTTGTCATTCCCACCATCCTGCACAGGACATAGGCCAGCAGGCACATCATGCCTTCTGGCCCAGTCAGTGTGTCCCCCTACTCCTGCAGACTTAGCAAAGGAACTTCTTTCCCTTTCAGATGAATATCTGCAGCCCCATTCTTCACATCCTGGGATGACCAGAATGACAATGGGGATGTCCACTCCTTGTCTCCTCCTTGGTGTGTGTTTGCTTTGACAACACGTCATGACTGTCCCTGAAAACTCAATGGTCCAGCCTCAGCCATTGTGGCCTCAGTCTTGTATAGCACCTTGGGGTGGGGGTGGGGGTGCTCTAGGTGTCACTACACTGACATCCATCCTGGGGTCCTTGTACTGTCTCTTTTTCGGTTCTAGGTGAAGACCAGGCCTGCCTCAGTTTCTCGTCTCCTTGAGTGTTGCCTACATGAGAGGACATCTTCCTGGGCCCAAGGAGATGGTTCTCTGGTGCAGGACAGTCCAGACCCAGGCCTAGTGCGAGAAGTGTTTTCTGCTTGCACCGATACTCTCTCCCGGCATCTCCTGGACTCATTTGGTCCCTGGGAGCCAAGGCTGTCTCCACTGTCTCCATAGCTACAGGGGCATGTGCCTTACATCTTTAACCACAGAGAGATACAGGAGTGAATTTTTCCTAAAATAAAAGGCCATCTTCTCCCAGAGGTGAATTCAATTCTTGTAAAAAGAAAGATCAGCTTGAAGCTGTGAAAACACAGTTTCCCCTCCCACACCCAACCTGCAGAGGTTTCAGGGGTCTGGAAAAGAATTTTCTGTTAGTGTTGCATCTCGGTTTCCTGTGTTGCCCTCTGCATGGGCCAAATCGTGCCCACCCCCCACCTCCCACCTGATTCATATGTTGAAGTCCCAACCCCTAGAACCTCCCCACGCGACTGTATTTGGAAATGGGGGCTCTAAAGAGGTAATGAAGGTACAACATGGTCATTACCAAATTATGGTAGGTCCTAACCCAATGTGAATTTTGTCCTTAGAAGAAGAGATTAGGACACAGAGGAAAGACTTTGTAAAGACACAGGGTGAAGACGGCCATGAGAGAGGCCTCAGGACACACCAACCCTGCTGGCACCTTGAGCTTAGACCGCCAGTCTCCGGAACTGTGGGGAAATGACTCTCTGTTGTCAAGTCGCTCAGCTCTGCAGAACTTGTTACAGCAGCCCTAGCAGGCGACCATATCCTCTCCTTCAGCAGTCTTTGCAAAAAGCATCTCCCCATGAAACACTGTGCACATCTGGAGACCTGGCACACTCTCCTGCCAACAGTCTGGAGGGTCCAGGAGGGAGCCTGCTACTTCTGCATCTGTTCCCATCTGGGAGGGCATCTTGGCCAGGTGTATAGCTTCAGAAGGGACATGTAGGAGTAGGAAAGACAGAAAGGGACAAACACCATTCTTTTTTTTAGGGGGGGCGGTACCAGGGATTGAACACAGAGGCACTCGACCACTGAGCCACATCCCCAGCCCTATTTTGAATTTTATTTAGAGACAGGGTCTCACTGAGTTGGTTAGCGCCTCATTTTTGCTGAGGCTGGCTTTGAATCCCTGATCCTCCTGCCTCAGCCTCCTGAGCCGATGGGATTACAGGCATGTGCCACCACACCCGACCAAACACCATTCTTGTTGGTCATAAAAGTTGATTCCACTCTGGCCTCAGATGAGGAGGGATCCTCATCTCTCACAACTATAAGATGCCAGCAGATCAGACACTCTAAAATCACCTAACATGGGAGTTGTCAGTCACATGTGCCTATTGAGCACTTGAGATGTGGCTCCTCCAAATTGAGTCGTGCTCTAAGTGTAAAATACATGAAGACTTTGGTGGAGAAAAAAAAAAAAGCAAAAAATCGTATTTATAATTTTTTTGATATTGATTACATGTTGAAATAATATTTTGGCT